CAAGCGAATGAAAGAAAAGCGTGGCTTTGGTAGAAATTAAAGGGTTTTATTGATACACTGGCTAAACTTAAACCGAGAGAAATTGATGACATTCAAAGTAAATTACGTAAAACAATTCAGTTGAGACAACGTCAGAGCCATAATTTCCGGTATAATTCCTCTTTCTAAACTGTTACCGGTATCTTCCTCCTTTTGAAAGTTGTCTTAGCAAAGACATAGTAATGTTTTTGCAGAAATAATCCATGAAGTTAAAACATCAATTTTATTCTTGGAATTTTTTTATTGAATTTTAAAACCATTACATAGGCGTAGTCACAGGGGGGGGGGGGGCAGCGGGGGCACTAGCCCCCCCCCCCCACTTTCAGATCGGGGGGAGGGGGCAAGAGTATGTCTGTGCCCCCCCCCCCCACTTTTTAAAGAAGAACAAAATCACAGCTATTTTTCCCCCAACATTACCTTTATTATAGGAAATATTCATTGAATGGATGCCCCCCCCCCCACTTTTTGAACCTTGTATAATTGGAATTGAAAGTAACTTGCCTTTGAAAAAGTTGGCCTCTACCCCCCCCCCCCCCCCTCCCCCCACGAAATAGGATTTTCGAGGTTGGGGAAACTTTCCTTTTTTTTTTTTTTGCTTGTCAAAGAATTTCTGGACTTGAGTCCCCCCCCCCCCCCACTTTTAATTTTTTTTTCTTTTTTCTTTTTTTTTTTTTTTTTTGCTTGTCAAAGAATTTCTGGACTTGAGCCCCCCCACTTTTAAGTTTGTGACTACGCCTCTGCATTATTAGTAATTAAGAGAGTTTAATTAAAAAATAATTTCGGTTGCTTTTAAATGCTTAATTGCAAGTATAAAATGCAAGAAAGTTGAACAAATTAAAACATCTAGAACATTCCAATCGTCGCAAACAACGGCCAAAATGTACGATCCTCTCCCGCTTTATGCTATATGCTGACTCCGAACGATGGGAAATTCTCCTATTTCACCTTTCTCATAAGCCTAAGGATAGATATGTTATACATTTACACTACTGAAATCAACAAATAATTAAAAATTTGTCGACAGAATTCATAATAACTCTCCTTTTACTAAACAAGGATTTTGTAAAATATACATTTGGATATGTAATAATGTCGGTCGAAAGTCGGTACTTACACCTCCTTGGCTGGAGGAACTGGTATGTTTGGTTGTTTGGGGCGTCAAGGAACTTTTGCTTGGTACTGTCCATCAAAATTGAAAATGTTTGGTTGTGCGTCTACTTCTACCAGAAAATGCTTTTTGGAGACCAGGTCTTCCAACAATCTATTGGAATTCCCATGGGTTACAATTGCGCTCCGTTATTAGCAGACCTATCTTTTATTAATATGAAGCAGAATTTGTAAAAAATGCGCGAAAACAAGAAAACATTTGCTTTGGCCTTCAACTCAACAGTTAGATATATCGAATTGTCAATTAACAATGGTAATTTCCATTCTTATGTCGATACAATATATCCCTGTGAGCTTGAGATAAAAGATACCACAGAATCTGACACATCTGTTTCAAACTTGGATATTTTACTTGAAAAACACGTTAATGGTAATCTAACAAAAAAGCTCTATGATAAACGTGATGACTTTAACTTTTCAATCGTCAATTTCCCTTACTTATGCAGCAATATACCTTTATCACCTGCATACGGCGTTTATATATCTCAATTGATTCGATACGCAAGACCATGCTCTTCGTATGAACAATTTCTTGAAAGAGGAAAATTATTGACAAAAAAGTTGATGAAACAAGAATTTCAGCAGTCTCGTTTAAAGTCATCATTTCATAAATCCTTTGGTCGATACAATGACCTTGTCTGCAAATACAGTTTATCATTCAATCAAATGCTGACTGACGTTTTTCATACTAATTGTTAGTCCATTATATATACACTGAATTGACAACGGAATTTTCCGTTATTTCTCGATAATGAAAAGGAGCACATGGCGGGTGTGAACAGTCAGCAGGGGATGCTCACTCCTCCATGGCACCTGATCCCACCTCTGATGTTTTAGAGGTCCGTGTTTACTCTGCTTCTATTTTGTATTGTTTTATGAACTTCGATATTGAATACTGTTCGTTTTCTCCATATCCTTCATTCCTATGGGCCTATCCCTCGTGGCATCTTATCCCACTTTGTTGATTCTAGGAAATCCATGATTGTCCTGAACTTGTATCGTTTTATTATCATTTTTAAATTCTTAAATTGATAAATGTGTAGAACAAAATTATATATCAAGCATTGTTGCCTCTGTAATATGTGTGTAGTAATGACTATTAATTACATAAATTAACTAACAGTTTTGTTGCATGTGGCTGTTCTCTAAAAAGAAACATTCTTCTAAAGTTCATTAACCAGTTTTGATAATTATTTTTTTTTAAATAACTATCGGGGGAGTGTTAGGAATGGTTCTGTAATAATCATCCATCAAACTAGAATAAAATTGTATAAATATCACCCAATTTAACTTGGCGATGTATATGAATTGTCGAGGGAGAATTTTCAGGAGAACAAACTAGGAGACACTGAACTTGACGTTTTCCCTAGCGTTTGGGTTTTACCGATTTTTAATTTACACGTCCTCTCCGCCCATTCATTCTTTTTATTTCTGATCTTTGCCATTTACATTTATTTTAAACATGATGCTCCTTTTAAAGATGTGTAGAATCTGATTAATATGGTTATTACTGCGTTTAATTATGATACTTGCAATTGTTAGTGAATTATCAAAATACCATTGATCATTTCAAAAGAAAGACACATTGGATTCAACATTTATTCACTCGAGCCTCTCTTGTCTTTATATAAACTATATGTAACTTGTAAGTATACAAACATACAATGAATACAACAAAGTATTATGCTTTTTTCTCAATAAATAAATGAGAATAAATTAACAGAAAGAAAAATATATGTGGAGATAACGAACAGTAGTCAAGCTAAGAAGCCCATGAAACAATACAAAATTGGAGCAGAGCCAACACGGACCTCTAAAACACCAGAGTCGGGATTAAGTGCCATGGCGTAGTGAGCATCCCCTGCCGACCGACCACACCCGCTAAGTGCTCCATGTCACAAAACATCCGCCGTCAATTCAGTGTATAAATAAATATAATAAATTGTAAATTTGCTTACAAGGTCATTGTGTCTTCCAGTGGAACCAACGATATGATGATATTAAACAAGACAGCTAGCTGATATTCTTGTTTCAGCAACTTGTTTGTCAGTAATTTACCTCGTTTTAGATATCGTACTTAAAGCATGCTTTTGCGTATCGAATTAACTGAGAGATATGGTGATGAAGGTATACTGCTGGATAAGTAAGGGAAATTGACGATTGAAAGGTTATCACATTTATCATGGTGCTTGGTTACCATTGTTAATTGACAATATGTGGCCGAAATATCTAAATGTCGAGTTGAAGACCAGTGCTTTTTTCTTTCCAGATATAAGATTTTGGGCAAATTCTGCTTCATATGAATACATAAAATGTCTGCTAATAACGGGGCGCAATTGGTACCCATGGAAATTCCAATGATTGTTGGACCTGGTATCTTAAAACCACATACATGTAGATATTGTCATATGATACTCAAGAACCTTTTTGATGTAAACTTCAGAGAACTGGACTTCTGCGAAGACACCGACTTTTACAGTTGACGGCTTACTTTTACACCAGGAAAATATACAGGAGCTCTTTTGTGAAAAATATTGATCTTAACATTTAAAAAAACGATAATAACGGGCCACTTCAAAGATCATATAACGCTTGTCTTGGAAGGAAACGGCAACATTCCTAAATGTGTCTGTGTCTTCTTCTTTATTTCATTTTTTGAGTTATTTAAAATAAAAGGATATATTAATTCTCGTAAATAAAGTATCTAAATAAATTATATTTTACCACCAATTATAATTTATGTTTGATAAATTATTTCAAAGCCCCGAATACAATACCTCTATGGATGTTTTCTATTTTCTATTTTCAATTCCGTACCTCCGTACATGAAGCAGGTTTAAATGTCCAAGTAAGCCGCCAACTGTAAAAGTCAGTGTCTTCGCAAAAGTCCACTTGTGTGTACAATCAGACTGTTTTTAACAAATTTATGTTGCAGATGTCCAATGACAAGGTAAGTAAATTTATGAGTCCCGTTTTATTGAAAGGCAGCTGTCAATCATATCAAAAAGCCTACACTTTATTTTACCGTGGGGAATAATTGTATATAAAGTTAAAAAATCGAAAGTTTTGATGTTGTTGAATTTGAAAAAATCTTGTAATTTCAAATTCTCCAAAAGTTTCTTGGTATGTTTAAGTATCCACATCTGATTTACTCAATTTCGAAAAATATATTGTGTACTCTTGAAGTTTCTCCTTCACTACTGTTAATATCTATAAAGAAAAAAGAAATGTTCCTTTGTAAAAATGTTTGCATAGCAAGATCCCCTAACCACAAGATTTGGATCCGAATTTTTTTTTATAATTTATTTTTAAAAGAGCTTATAGAGGAAAAAAGAATTCAATTCTTTATAATCTAATAAAGAATAAAGTTTAAAAATAATTAGCCATTTCATATTTTGAATTGCACAAAAGAATAGAAATAATGCGTAGACAGTTTAAATATTGTAAAAATTGAATCTGAAGTGAATACATCTTTTAAAGACCTTGAAATTCGTGAAGAAAACAAAACTAAAAAATACTAAAAATGTATTTAAAATAATAAGCAAAAAAGCAAAATGATATTGAAAATATATGGATTTAAGAAAATCAAAAAATAATTTGTAATCGTATATTTAGAAAAAGTAATGATGTAATAATTTGTAATGAGAAAAAAAATGTTCTTAAAATTTCGCAGTTTTTTCGAAAAAAGGTAGGCCTCTTGGAATTAGAGAACAAGAGCGACAACTCTTTATTCTATAATACACAGGTAATACATACGATAACAAAACAAAAGATATATCTCTTACCAACGGAACTGATAACTAGGTATTTAGTATTGTACTGATGAATGTGTAACCTCTGTACAGGTCACAGGACCTGTCTTGTTTTGAATTAGAAAATGATTTTTAAATCGGCTTAGATTGAACTACAAGGTATTGAACACACTTCTTGCTTCGCTGGAAGTTTAAATAAACACTACAGATTAATGTGTAGGTAAAAGAAATGCTATTCGTCACTTGTGCGCCGTTATTAATTGGAGTATTTAAATTACCAGACTGAACGTTATGCTAAGTCTACAGTGGATCAAAATATACCTGGTGTGAAGAGTTGATGACTGAAGACTGAATGAAATGGATATAAATTTAACGGATGACGTCAAGGTACGTCTTGGAGCAGAGAGCAAAGTGACCCTCACAGACGGAATCGGTATACAGCAAGTCAAAGTCAGGACCCCCAAGTGTCAATCCGAGGAGCTTCTACCGGGGTGGTGAGTCTCCCTTCTCTTATTTTGAAATACCTCTTTATTATTCAGTCTTTTAATGTAGGAGAGTACGACATTGTTTTTGATCGATTAATGTTTAGTGGATTATTGGAATGTTGTCATAGCACTGGGAAACGACAGTGATCCCTAGTTAGTATGAAATAAACTGATAAATGTCAGTCTCACTACCTGCTCCATCTTCATTAAGTAGAATAATAACATTTCATTGAAAATATTTATTAACCTATATATTAGTTTACTGATTTATAGAAGTGTATTTTATTAAACAGATAAATATTTATCATTGAGGGAGAGTTAAACGAGGAAAATATACTAAGATTTTGAAACAGATATTACTTAAGGTGATACAAAGAAACCTTTCTGTACTTAGTGATCCCGTCCTATCCTTCATATGACATTGACAACCCATGTATTTCAATGTGTCTTTTTTTCTGATTATTCTCTCTTTACCTTTAACCGCCGCCTCTTCAGTTCTCCAGGGTGACTCCTACTCTCTGATTCTTTAAGCGATCACATCTATCAATCTATAAACCCAGTGTGTTTCTTTATTTAGCACTTAGTGAACCTATATAAGGATACTTTAATGTATAGGTTTTATAAATGACCTCACTGACTTTACTTATTGTATATAGTAAGTTTTATTTTTAAATTTTGTAATATATTAATATACAGGTAAATACAAATAATGACAAACTTAAAACAGATCTATCTTTGATATTCATTTATTACTTCTTATTTTTTATTTTCCCCGGAATAAAAAATAATCTGTCGACAGTCTTATTACTTACTTATTACTTACATGATATCGTTTGAATTTTGTATCGCCGTCTTCTTTTAAAATATTAACTCGGTATAATTTATGGGGATAGTTTTTTGGGCATACATTTTGGCATGCATGTGTCTTTGCATCTTAATAGATACTGTAAATTAGAAACAGTCACCGCCAAAATTAATATTTTGAAACTCTCAGGAATAATTCAAATTATTGAAACTTTTAATCATGCACTATCTGAAATATTTCCATAAAATAAGGGTATGATATATGCATGCATTGTATAAATATAGTGTCAGACATATTTTTTTTATGTTTTCAATCCCACAAACCCAAAAACGTTTAACAAGGCAAGCGACTTCACTGTTAATCCGAAGAAAATTAAATGAAAGTGAATGTATTCAATACATCTTGTGATATTTTAAAAGGCTTTAAAGGATTATCAACATGTATGCAGTTTGTATGATAAAATCAAAATATGTAGATGAATTGAAAAGAGGTGTGTCTGAGCTGAATTTAAAATGTATGTTACCTTTTATATAAAAAATATTGATATCGTTTAATCTATATTGATACCAAATTACATTCTCAAATATATTTAGGAAGAAGAAGCCCTTAAGGTTTGATCGTATTGGACACTGGTCTCTTTCAACCCTACCAAAATGCAAGTCTGGATTCTGAAACATATGGAGATAACGAACAGTATTCAAGATCAAAAGACTGATAGATAAAATTAATAAAGAAGAAGGTACAGTTTGAGCTTTATTGTGCCCTAAAACTTTAATGTTCTTAAAAAGTTATGAAATTTGCTTTAACAATAGTTGACTAGATGAATATGATAAATCATTATAGAATATGGCATGAAGGAGGACCTTTCTGGAAATATGACGTCATTAATTTAATACATTTCAAAGTTTAATGCAGAAAATCCTCAAAATAACTCATTTCTGTGATAATTTTCTTCTTTAGAAAATAGTGTATGCCACCGTCGCCCAATTTAATTTTTGAATATATATTATGTTAACTGCTATGAAAAATCACATATCTCAAAATCTTTCTGGGTGACGGTGTCAGAGTATGTTTTCTGAAAGAAAATTCCACTGAAAATTGATGTTTTCTGCAACTTTTTTAAGAAAATACGGGAAAATGCACAAGTTAATGACGTCACAATTAGCATTTAGGAGATCAAATGAGAAAAACGATTTGTGTTTTCTTACTGCAGGGAGTTCCTATGATTTAGAAAGAATGAATTTTGATTTTTATATCACTTTCATATTTTATATATTTATATATCCCTGTGAGCTTGAGATAAAAGATACCACAGAGTCTGACACATCTGTGTCATACTAAGATATTTTACTTGAAAAAGACGTTAATTGTAATCTAACAACCAAGCTCTATGATAAACGTGATGACTTTAACTTTACAGTCGTCAACTTCCCTTATACAACAACATACTACCTTCATCACCTGCATACGGAGTTTATATCTCTCAGTTGATTCGATACGCAGAGCATGTCCTACGCATGTACTCTTTCTAAAACGAGGTAAATTATTGACAAACACCTAGATGAAACAAGAATATTGGCAGTCTTGTTAAAAGTCATCATTTCGTAAGTTCTATGATCGATACAATGACCTCGTCAGCAAATACATTTATCATTGAGTCAAATGCGAACTGCATTTTTCATACTAACAGCTGACTGATATTGTTAGTCCATTATTTATACACTGAATTGACAACGGATTTTTCCGTTATTTCCCGATCATGACAAGGAGCTGGTGTGACCGGTCGGCAGGGGATGCTCACTTCTCCATGGCACCTGATCCCACCTCTTATGTTTTGGAGGTCTGTGTTTGCTCTGCTCCTATTTTGTATTGTTCTATGGACTTTTGATCTTGAATATTGTTTGTTATCTCCTTATGTTTCATTATTCCAACTTCTGAAATATATCAAAAGGTCGAATCTTCTATTAATTTCAATATACAAGTAGGAATAAGTTAACCCCTTCTTCGGGTCTTACTCCTTAAATCATAGGATATTAGTTTTAAAACAAATAATTATTAAAAAACAATTTTCCTCAAATTTCCACGAGTGTATGAAGAATTCAGAGATTGTATGCATTTATTTTGATATGGCCAACTTATCTCCGCCTTCGGGCATGGGCCAATTAAGTATATAATTTGGTATCTGATTTAGTTAATTCTTACATAAAAGGTTTGTTAGCTTTGATATCTGATACACGAAGCTCCAATCTATGAAATGAACCACTGATGCAGAGTCCATGCAAATAAGTTAAATGCTGAGATAAGTTAAGATATATAAAAAGTAAAACGTTTTCAAATGACTTGTCCATTTTCACTACATGATATGCCTAACTCTGGCCTATAGCAAATTTGGAGACAATTAGAAATGAGGAAATAGAAAATTAAGAACAAATTTTTTAACGAACACTTGTACTACATGTATTCACTATTAATAATGAATTCAATCTTTTAATTTGTAGCTATGAAAAGGATGGTGCCGAAAACTTATCGTCGAAATTTAATTTACACAGACAATACTCGCTTCCATTCCAAGAATCATTTGCGCAGAAACCCGAAGATTCTGATATTATATTGCCAAATATCTTCGAAGAGGAAGTACCAGTAAAATTATGTAATAGACCTCAGGTTTCTATTTCAAAGAAAGAAATTGTGATAGATGAGAATTCACCTACCCAAATAGACATCACGTGGACTGTAAAAGATACAAAGCTTGGTGTGAGCTACGTGTTCGATTTGGAGATTATGACAAATACAGAATGGACACCTTTAGCAGAAAAAAGAGCACCTGTTATACGAATGTATAAAACGGACTTCTCTGTGTCTCTGGGCAAAATCAAGTGGGATTTACGTAAAGGGGACGCTGTCTGGCACGTCAGAATACGATCACGTGACAGTCACATGGCATATGATTGGAGTGATTCTGTAAAAATTCTTATATGTGGGATCAAAAATGAGGTCCATTTTGACCCTAACGACAAAGCAGGATCGATTTTATATTAATCTTATTTAAATTATCTTATTCCAGAGAATAAGACATGTTGAAAGCAAGTTTAAATTACTCTGATGTGGCTAACCACAGTTTGTTCCATCCTTTTCATACATCTATATGCTACCATATACATGCATATGACTCGATAGACTATTCTGTTTACTTAGATGTTTTCTATATCTGTTTTTTTTTAAGTTGGCGATATCTATAAATTTTAATGTTAAAAAATATCAAAACAATTAAAATTTGATGTCCATGTCTTTAATTTACATTTCTAACAAAAATAAATGTCATTTTAGCTCGCGTATCAGAAATATCAATCTTTTAAACATTCTTTTAAGATGTTAGAAAGATTGAATTCGTACAAAGTAAGTGCCCTGATTTAATGTTAGAATTACTTTTGTCCTCTTAGGGTTTTGAATTTGCACCATATATTCCCCATGTAAATGTAAACTCACTTCATATAAAGTGTAGTCTTACTTTCTTTATTTGCAACTGCAGAAATTGTACAAAATTTTATTTTTGCACTTTCCTGCAAAGTTCTCAATAGGAGTTGAACCTCCTTCAATCGTAGGCATTTGTATAGTGAAAATGTTTGCCAATCCAGGCACCTCATAATTTTTGTTGTAACAATGTGCCAAACTTTCCAACAATCTAAATTTCAAAGGCAATTAAACAACCGTAATTGTGTTTTGCCTCAATTGATTTTACTTCAAAATAATGATTTATCACTCAAGATCTGGGATATCAGAGAGATTTCTATCCATATCAAGGCGTTTCTTCAGTATCTGTGGTTGTTATTACTGAAACAAACGCTTTCTCCTTCAGATGACGTTTTACTTTCTTTACAGGTGATACAGAACTGAATTTTCCCACTTTTATAACACTCTTTGCTTCCCTCTGATCTTGCCCATCATGGTAAGCAATGAAATATCTGTAGAATAAAACAATGTCAATTCAGTTAACTACCGGTATATCACAAAAAACTTAAAAGGTGTGTAATAACTTAAAAGAAAATGCCTTATTAGATAATGGGGGTTTATTGGAAAGAAAAAGAAAAACGGAAATTGTTAATTCTAACACAGAAGGAACTGATCTTGTCACACTTAGAATAAAAAAAGTGATTTGTATTAACTGTCATATTATTGATCTTTATAAAAAAAAAATTCATTTGGTGTTTCGTAAGGAGCAAAGAGTGAAACCTTCCCCTCCAAAAAAGATTGAATAAAGTTGAAAGTAAAGTCACAAAAATTCCCTTAATATTTGATATCAATATAAAAGGCAAAATTAATTCCAATACAGAAAGTATTTTGTATCAAAATATGTACATTCATATTATGCATGCACACATCCTTACATTCATTGAGATTTCTTTTCTTTACTTTCTTCTTCTCCCCCTAAAAAGAAAAGCTGAATATAAATGAATTAATACATGTACTAGTAATAAATCATATTGTAGCTTGTTATTCCTTGCAGTTCTAAATAGAAATATTAACGTTTTCTTTAAAAAAAAAAAATCTTACACTTTAATACATACAGTCTAGGGTACGAATTTTCTCTTCATATAGATATATTTTTCTTTATAAAACATCATTTTTAAAAATCCATTATTCAAAAAAGAAGGTGTATGGTGTTGGGTTTGTTAAAGCCCTTAAATAGAACATTTCAAAAGGCTTCGCAGTTCGCGCTTGCAGGTATATAAGTGGACTTTCATAAAGTTGATTTTCAAAAAGCACAAAAAGATTTTTCAGGAAAATAGTGTCAGTATCCGTTGCTCAATCCAATTTTCGAAAATGTTTTGTAAAAAAATTCCTTAAAACTTTTGGCAATGTGGTCTGTATTGTCCAGGGGGGGGGGGGGTCCACAAAATGATGTTTTCTGCAACCTTGTAAGAAAACATCGGGACAATTCCTAATTTATGACGTCACCATTGGCATTTAGGAGGTCTCATAAGAAAAAGAATATGACATACTGCATGGAGGTTGAACAATTCAGAAAGCATGGATTTTTTTTCCATACACTTATGGATACCAATTGCGCCTCCTTATTAGCAGACCTATTTTTGTATTCATATCAAATTATTGACAAACCAAGTCGATGAAACAAGAATATCAGCAGTCTCGTTTAAAGTCATCATTTCGTAAGTTCTATGGTCGATACAATGACCTTGTTAGCAAATACAATTTATCATAGAGTCAAATGCTGACTGATGCTTTTCATACTAATTGTTAGTCTATTATTCATACGCTGAATTGACGACGGATTTTTCAGTTATTTACCGATCATGATAAGGAGCACAAAGCGGGTGTGACCGGTCAGCAGGGGATGCTCACTCCTCAATGGTACCTGATCCCATCTCTGATGATTTGGAGGTCCGTGTTTGCTCTGCTCCTGTTTTGTATTGTTTGACGGTCTTTTGATCATGAATACTGTTCGTTATCTACATATGTTTAATGCAACAGTTTCATATTTCCAAATAATCTTAGCTAAAAACTTTTATCCGTGCCTCTTAATTACTTACTCTTGAAAAAAAGAAGCTTCAATCCCCTTCATTGCATATAATTTTGTTGCACAGTGGTTCTTGCGAAGATAAAAATATATACAAATAACAGACAACATAGCTCAGAAATTGTTCAAAAGAACGCATTTTCAGGTACACAAATATTTTTTTTCGAGAATTACATATGATTAAAAATACCTTAATGGGACCAAGATCGTATAAAGGAAGGTTCTTTTGGACGCGTAAACGAAGGACAAAATCCCAAGGATGAATATGATACTGGATATACCAAGTAAATGCTAGAGTAAAAGTAAATATATGCATTGTTCTTTATCTTTACGAAATAAAAAGAAATTCGTAATATGTATAATGAAATCGATTCGAGCAATGTTTAATAAACTCTACCTTATAACTTCCCTTTGCAATATAATGTGATGTAAATTTGTTATTTGAAGACATTCCAAAACTAAAATCTTGCAGCACAGGCTCCTGAACAATACAAAAGCCAGGCCCACTTAAACTGCCTGCAGGAATTCCTCTTCTGAAGAATATTGTTATTTTATTTAAATATCAATTAGTAATAGCGCAAGAAAGTTTAAGTAAAAAAGTTCTGATCGTATATGATGCTTTCGTGAATAGTTACAGACAGAAAAAAAATCTATTTCAATCACATCTGATTTAACTACATGTATGTAAAGCAATTTTTAGCTCAAAGTAAATCTCAGTTAAACATACTGGATCATGACTACTTTACCTTAGCATTCGACATCTTTGTTCCTCCAGACGAGGCGCTGCTTCTTCTAGATTTGTCACAGACCGAGCACTCCAAAGCCTCTCAGCAGCCGCTGATGTCATAGGCCTAGAAGATTTTTAGTAACAAACTGTTGATCTAAACTCAATATACTCTTGATATTTTCTTTTCTACAAGTATTCACTACATGTATCAACTAGAAGTTCTTAAATTGCATACTATTCAATATTTAAAATCATATAATGATTAAATATAATTAATATTCTTATAGAAGTGTCCTGTTTTTGCCTCCTAGAGCACAGATCCAGCTTCAGTTTTCCTGACAACGTTATATAAACTAAGGAGCATAAAGTGTATTAAATGTGACGTGTTGTAAAACCATGCAATTACACTAGGTATATTTTTTCCTAGCACTCAGATATACATAAAAAAGAAGTCTGGTTAGAGTCTAGTTAGAACAATGATATATATGAGAGGAAAAGACATACCACATTTTGACTAAGACATCCTCATTCGTGATGTGTTCGCTCCATGCACAGACCTCCCCACCTAAAACCTTTGACAAGTTCCCTTTAAAATCTGTTCAAGATAAAAAAAAAAAAAGCTATTCTTTTAAAAGATCCCTCTATGTTTTACACATGATTGTGGGTAATAACCAATACCAAGTAGAAAGCACTTAAAAATAATGATTTCCTTTTTTCTTTGGTCAAGTTCTATCATTTATTACAGTTTCTTGATAAATTTCTTAATTTACCTTGTTAGATAAAATTATTTTTTTTTCAATTTTAGCGGTCAAAATCAAAGTCTCTTATTCTAATTATTAAAACTCACTGAGTTTGATATCTTTTGTAACGTGTTTTAAATACGTACATGATCAATTACTGCACAAAGAATGTTCTTTGTAATTCTAAATACGTGTGAGTAAAGCTAATATGTTACAAATGATAATCAAACTATACTTTTGTAATTTACAGAAAACTATAACTTTTAGTTGCTTGGATTGATTTTTTTTCTCCTGAAAAAGTCATATTTAAAACGAAAAACGTCTGTTTCACTCGCGAACAAGTGCAAACCATCGAATATAAACTGTTGGTATAATTTATATGAATAATATAATTATCAAAATAGACAAGAAAATTGTACTGATAACCCAAGTACTAACGCCGTAACACCGGGTCACAAGAGTAGAAAGTCTGCCATTGTATGCCAGGTGGCACTTGGTCCAGGTACCAGCAAGAGGAGTAAATAACAGGGAAGCCATCAGCTGTTATGCTAGATACGCTGTCTGGTCCACCATACCACAACTGTACAACAGTTCCTTCTGGAATCTGACATGAGAACGAAACATCTGATCTATTTCAGGAAAAGTTATACGTCTAGGATTTGCATTTTTTCTATGATTTCTGTGAACGAGATTTTCATTTTTCTATGGACAATCAAAAATGCTATAATAATAGGAGTTTGTAAAACACAATTCGGTTCAAATATTCATTCAAACGATTAACATTCTTACTGTTATTCTTGTAACACATTTTAATTACTAAGTTTTCTTTAAATTGTAGTAATTAAATGTTTTATAGCAGGAACAATGTGAATCGTTTGAATCAATATTTATGTTTTCATGTTCAAAGTGAACCAGCCTGTGTCAATATATAGAAAGTATTTAATGTGTCAGATAAAGTATGACATTTCGATTTGAACATATTTTATTATGTAAAATACATAATTGGATTGGGCAGCAGGCATAGCCTATATAAGCCCTCTCCATAGGTACAAGGTTAATTAATACCCATATAGTAACAGGTTTATATATGACCAATAAGTTATATATAACTGACACAATTTGAATAGAACATAGGGGAAAGAAAAATACATGAGTAAAGAGAGAAAAAAAAACAACAAATGAATACCGGTTTATAAATGTGGAAATGAATTGAAAAAAAAAATCGAAAAAATGAGAACTACAGCAATTTATAAACATACAATGAATGTGTATTTGATTTAGGTAAGAACTTGAATAAATATTTCATAGATTCACTTCATTTATGAAATCTTTTGGTTTGAGATATATATTTGTGAACACAATCAAATAATATCATATTTTTTGCATATGAAATACTACTATCACCAAATAATAAAAGATTTAGTGAAATAGGAATAGGATTTTGCAGGTCTATACTAGATATACAGTTAAAAAGAGTGTTTCTTTGCTCAACATAACATGGGCATTCAAAGAAAAAATGATATGCATTTTCTATATGAAAATCACATTTTTCACATTTTGAGCTATCACTTATATAATCTTTCAGTAAATCAGCATTTAAACTACTAGCATTATTTCTTAGCTGACAATGAATAATATTTTGACTACGACATTTCAATTTCCTACAAATTCAAACATAGGTATAAAAATTACATTAAAGTTTCAGCAAATCTACAAGCCATTTAAAGGGAACTATTTTTATATATTTGCACTGAATTTCAAGATATGAAAAAACAGATTTTGAGGAGAAATGTGAGAATAAAGACAACTTCAAAGAAAAATTTAGTCTGATAAAACCTCTAATTAAAATTTCTAATACATAATTCATGTGACCATAAATCATTGTATTTTAGGGCAAAATTCAATAATTTTTCAATGAGCATAACGAAATATTAATATTTAATTTATTTCTTACACTGAGTTTTTTGGAATAGGCTTCCTCCCATACTATAAACCCCACATCTTTCTTTTTCTGTTTAGCTGTATCTTTAATTTCTGATATCAACCTTCGTAAAAAGATATCGAATAGAAATTAATCACAAACTACAAATATCTTTCGTATGCCAACAGACTTTTTATCGAAACATCTAAACATTCAGTGAAGAAACTAAAAATTTAAGAATCAATAATATTTTTTATCGATTATATTTTTGAATTTTCTCATTCAAATTATCTTTGTTTTCATCTAAAGAAAGAGAAGCGTTGGCAACTCGAGCATGAGAAAAAGAAGTAAAACAGTTTATTGATTTGTACAAAGAAATATCTTAATTTTAATTTATATATTGACTGTATTACAGAGTAATGTCATGGGACCTTATTATCATGTATTCATTATCAACCTATTGTAATGGATATAATTTTTATTACATATATCCTTTTTGCCTTGAAATTTTTTGAAAAGTTTTTTTTAAACCAACTTAAACCTGCTAATTTCTGTTTTGTACAATATTTGCATGTCAGTTACTCTGGTATGGATAAGAACATAATTGACTTAACTTAAAAAATAATAATACATTTCATTGAAGAAAAAAGGTTCCCCGATAGAAAACTAATAAATAATATCTGAAATATTTTTGAGCACTTGCCTTTTGGTGTAATAATCCAGTAACCTTAGCATGTCCCGATTGTCTCCAGTGGACATTTTTCCTGTATTATTTGCTTTGGCCATTCTAGCCATTTCTTCTGCGAAGCTCACTATCTCAGTATTAGAATTCCTGCACATTATTGTAAATCAACAAAAAAGAGAACATCTTTACAGAGAAGTTTTATCAATGTTTGATACAATTTTAAAAAGTCAGTTTAGAAACTTGGATTACCAGCACTCAAAAGGCACTTCATCGCCACCAATATGAACAAACTGGTCCTGAAATAAGCCTAGAACTTCTTTATAAAATCGTTGCAGAAAAAGATAAGTACTGTTCCGTGCTGGGTTCATCGGTCCCATCAGAGCGGGTACTGGCTGTCCTTTATGATAACACTGAGTCAGCAATTCTGGCTTACTGAAGCTCCAGGAAAGTGTGTGGGCTAAAAAAGGATATATGTATTTTTAAAAGGAATTATTGTGTCCGTACAATAATTGAAATACATTTTATCACGATCTGATTTTAAAGAATTGTGACAAAAGACCGGAAATACGAGTTAGCGAATAATTTTGAAATGTCTACACAAATATAAAGAAGGGTGGATCTGCCAGTGGTAATATTTCATGAGTTATAAAAATAACACTTTGTACCTGGAGTGTCAAACTCTGGAATAACTCGAATCCCTCTCAGCCTCCCAAATTCTATAATATCTCTCACGTCGTCGTGTGTGTAGATCAGCGAGGGATGGAAAGCTCCCTGTAATTCATACCAAACAAAAGATATAATTGTTACTCTTACTGCATGATTATATATGTAATACGGCATTTTTTCAAATCTAGATTATTATGTGTGAATTCTTTTCTTTTAACTTATAAACAGTTCAAAACTGTTTAGTCACATTATTTCAAAATAAGGATTATTTTACTTAATATCGTGTTATAAGTGTGAACTTGGAAGATAACGAACAGTATGCAAGGTCAAGTTTTTGTACTTTTTCACTCAGTTCTGGAAAAATTTCACTTCGGAAAGGAAAAGACTGATCATCAGAAAGATGCCAGTGAAGAATGTTCATCTTGTTCATCTCCATTCCTCTCTGTTAAATAATATTAATAAAATCTCCAATTATCTAAGTTGATTTAAAAAATCAAATCAAATCACATTCACTTCAAACTTATGAAATTACCATAATCTGGAACAGCGTTTCTTTACTCATGAAATGTCTGGCAGTGTCAACCATGATGCCTCTGTGTGGAAATCGCGGAAAATCTTTGATTTTTGTCTCCTTCAGTATAACCTTTTTGAAAATCAGGTGTTAAAAATACAATACAGTGTACTTGAAAAGATAAAATTTTCTCTTTTGGGGTAACATAATGGTAAGAGGGGCCATATCCTTTAAATAAGAACATAACATTATAGAATGATGAAAAAAATTAAAGAAGAGAATGTACATTGTTAACCGTTTATGCTGTCAAAAAAGCATCAAGAATTTGTAAGTGGGGTGAAAAGAACAAAAAACACGCGTGATTAATCATGATCAAAGCAAGAATAAAATGGAAAATTAACCGTATTATGAGTGCAAACGGTAATCTGACTAAGTGTTTCCAGTCCCCTCAGGGCGCCCCAAACCTCACCAGCAACTATTGAGATTCCGTGTTCATTGACTGTAAGTTTGTCTGTTGAAATGAAGAGGATAATTAATCTTTAACGAGTTCCTTACATTGAATTTTGGATTTGTTTTCATAAAACAATGTATTAAAAATAAGAAGACATGTACAGGTATCTTTATGTTCATATCACTAGCAAACAAGCATTCGGCAATCATTGCCACAATGTATTTAGGCAAAGAGTAGGACAAGACAAACTGTATTGCAAAATACCACATAGTCAAAGATGTAAAAGACAGACAAAAAAAGAAACACAAAGCGGGTAATGTGGTCCTGTCAAAAACATTAGCCATTGATATTTGATACAGGTAGGAATTTCATGAGGTAAATTTTAAGATGCATTTATCTCTGTCTTTTGTCATCGATGTTCAAAACATTTAACATACTTTGAAAATGAAACAATAATTATTAATAATTAAATCCCGGGATTGTTTGGGCAATGGAAACCATTTTTCAGTGTTTACTTTCTCACTTTAAAAAGCGGTTGAAATATGTACTGGTATATTCAAAATTAACATAACTGTACGAACAAGCCAAACAGTGATAAATTTTTAACCAGTGAGTTTCTTTGAAGAATTCTATTGTATGACTGTTCTAAACATTGTATTGATATTTTCTGACGTGTTAATAATCCCTTGACTCCTACCAATTAGTATTTAATGCATGAGCTAAAGTGTTACTAGAAAACGACTTATTTACAAAAGTTCTTTCTTTTGAAAATATGGTATTTATTTATGTGAATTTAAAATATGAATAATAGTTCAACTATACTAAAAATTTTACCTGAAATAATCATATTATACAGATTAGATATAACATGTCCAATATCTGTATATTTATTTTTCGAAATGGAAAATCTTTGTTGCACATGATTTTTTAACTTCTGAAAAATCAAAATCTCCCTATTTGCTTGAATGTTGTGTTTTGAATTTTCATTAACTGATAAGATAGGATAAACTACAGTTTATATGATATGTAATACTACATTTTTTATTAATATTATTAATCTACTTAATTTGTCATTACATTCCCATTTTATTTGAATGGAAAACGTTTATACCACTAAATTGTCTTTAAACGAATTAAAATTTGTTTTGCCCAGAATTCTGTATCAACTAGACGTTTCATGCCTTGTAAAAAAAAAGCAAAACATTTTTGTTGTTGTTGTAAATGTAAAATAACGAACAATAATCGATTTATGGTTTCAACAACAATCGTATGATAGAAATCCTTCAAAGAAAATTACGGGTCACCAATCACTGTTAAATGTATGAGTACTGAGCTAGTAATGTTGAATACTATGTGTACAGCTTTTTAAAGACAGGCTTTAGATGTTCAACGATTGACGGTTTCCGTAAATCAGTTCTTTCCTGAATATTTGAAATACACATGTATTATATTTCAGGAACTCTTTGAGAATTTTTTTTTTTTGGATGCACATGAACATGAGTGGGAATTGATTGTTCTTTCAATCCCTATGACAACAAATGATAATGATACTGTACTCACATGATTCATCTGCCGAAAGAGACGGCATGTATGTACAGCGTTTTATATCAAGGACAAGTGAAGTTATCATCTTCAAACTGAATGAAGTCTTTGAAGAATAAAGCATTTTCTTCTTTAGATCCTTATCAAATATATTTCGTAGGTTATTTTGGAATCTTTCATTCGTGCATGTAAATATATATTTCTTAAAACGAAGAATGGCTTCATGCAATGTATTACAGCTTGATAAAGACATCTTGACATCCAGTTTCCCCTTTTGTAGTCTGTAGAGTTTGTTGGAGTCGGAGGAATATCTCTGTGGCATTGGCCAAGGAGCCCCAGGTTCTGGTATAGGGGCCCTCCGAAGCTTGAACCCCAGTGCATTTCCACGAAAGTTCAATTTATAATCCTTCCCGTCCCACCCTACCGGAACTTCCGGAAGTAAGAATGGATTCTCAAAATTTTTATATGACGAGGTTCTCTCTGAATAAAAAAAAATAAGTATATTTTCAGTTTTACTTTGTTGCAAATCGAAGTGATCCTCTAGTTATTAGTCCCCTACTGGTGAAACTCGAGGGGAGTATAGGTTTTCTCTAAGTCTGTCCGCGTGTCTAGCTGTCCGTCCGTCTGTTCCTCTGTCTATCAGTCTGTCCTATTTGGTTTTCCGCACTTTCTTCAAAACGTTTGTTGATATTGAGCTGATTTTAAGCTGATTTTTGGTGTGATTGTATACTTGAAGATGCAGATCAAGTTTGCATTTCGTTCCACTTCAATGATTTTTGATGGAATTATGGCATTTTTAATTTTTTATACTTGGGTTCACGATCAGTTTCGTGCTGCATTATATTATAATGTTACAAAAGAGATTGTCATGTTAAACATTATTGATTTGACACTTGCTTAGAAGCTTTATTTTGACAAACAATAAATTAGTTTGATTTTTAACCATGTAAAATGAGCTGTTCTGATCAAAGCGTGCATGTATATCTAATGTCATTCAAACACGTATTTCTTTTTAAGGCAGATCAATTAACTTATTCATTAGATATTTCATACATAAATAGTAATTATCGAAATGTCAACATTTGTTTATTTTTCTATGATAACAATTTCTTTGTGTTTTGTGACATTCACATGAAGACTTTATTTTGAGGTAATATTTTAGTGCATATTTTCTTATGAACAGGATATTTAAGTCCAATTCTAATGCATAAAGAAATATGATTTTTATCTAAGTGTTCGTCACAATTTTGTATTATTTTTATACAAAGACCCACGTTGACTTTAAAAATATACGTTTTACATGTAAAATAAATCTTACCGCTTGAAATCTCTTTACTCTTATGAGTAGAATGGCCATCTATTATTTCCCTCATAGTCCTTATTCCAAAGACAGAAATAAAACACGAAATTACAAGTGCAGATTTCATAGCCCTGAAAATAAAGATAAACAAAGTCTTAACATTATTATCTGAATAAGCATACAGATAAATGTATCATCTTTTTTTTAAAATCTAATCTTTGAACAGCTTTGGCTGAGGTAGATAAAAAAAAATACATCCTGTACGTTGTAAATCCATAGTAGCGTGTCTTTATAAATCAGTGACAAATAATTAATATTCTACTTATGGCCACCTCGGTGTTCTCCTTTGCTCTGTTGTGTAAAAGAAGAAGATTTTAATTTTTCCTATTTCATACAAGTTCAGACCTAGGGTAAATATTTTGTATGCCACATAGAGATGACTAATTATTACCCTACTGCTCTTCAAAAATCTTAACAATTTTCAAGATAATCCAAATATAAAAAAGTCGAGTCCATCTTAATTTCAGAGACAATGTTTTGACCAAATCTAATTTTTCAATACATTGAGATGACTGAAAACAATATGCTTACTTGTGGCTTAGCATGTGCAGTTCTTAAAGCAATTTTTAAAAATTGTTCTTGTATACATATATCCATATTTCATGCATGTAGAATTATGACTCAAATCTTTGTTCGTATCTTCGTTTATTTCCGTTGATATGACCAAATTTATATCAACTCTACAATTTAGACTTTGTTGTTTAATGAAATTTTGTGAAAAACAGGATTTTAAAGAACTTTTTAATTCTCCTGTGAATACACACAATCGAACGAGTTGCGTTCGTAAAATAATTTAAACTTCCCTTACATATGCAGCAATATATCTTCATCACTTGCATACGGAGTTTATAGATCTTAGTTGATTCGATACACAAGAGCATGCTCTATGTATGAACAATTTCTAAAAAAAAAACCAGGTAAATTATTGACAAACAAGTTGATAAAACAAGAATATTAGCAGTCTCGTTTAAAGTCATCATTTCTAAGTTCTATGGTCGATAAGATGACCTTGTCAGCAAATACAATTTATCATTGAGTCAAATGCTAACTGACGTTTCTCATGTTAATTGTTAGTCCATTATTTATACACTGAATTGATGACGGATTTTTCCTTTATACCCCGATCATGACAAGTAGCACAAGGCGGGTTTGACCGGTCAGCAGGGGATGCTCACTCCTTCATGGCACCTAATCCCACCTCTGATGTTTTGGAGGTTGTTTGCTCTGCTCCTACTTTGCATTGTTTTATGGACTTTTATCTTGAATACTGTTCGTTACCTCCATGTGTTCCATTATTTTAGCCATTTTGTTCTTGTAAAGATAAAAAATTAGATTTTTGAACAGCAAAAACTATCTTTTTGCATTTAGATGTCTTCATAAAACTTTTCATTAAAAATAGATATACAATGTACTATACCAAAACTTCACATCACTTTTGTCGAGAAAATATGACAACCTTCAAGTAACCATGACAAAAAATCAATACCAAACACATACTTCAATCAATTGCTGTGTTAAGTTAAAATTGTCCAATGAGCAAATTTTCTATTTCAATACAGGCATGATAGAGGAGAGGCCAACTGCATGACTTAAGGAATCACTGTCTAGTTTTGAGGGTATGCCAGGGCATCAACAATAGTGGGAAACATGGGATAATTTGCATAACGGGCGAAGCCCGTTATGCTTAAATTATCCCATGTTTCCCACTATTGTTGATGTCCCTGGCATACCCTCAAAACTAGACAGTGATTCCTTATATTTCCATTTTTACTTGAAATAACCATCTTAAAATAAATCGAAATACCGTCTAATTGAGTAGATTTGAAATGCACAAGGCCCCATGACGTCAAATTTTACTATAAAAAATAGTCCCAAAAACACGAAACCAATTTATTGACTATTTATATTTACCGTAGTCAAATATCAACATTTATAAAATAAACAACAAAAGAATTTTAAATGATGATCAAAGTAATCTTGTTGACTTTAATTATATATGTGACCTAGATTTAGGTTGTCGGAAGCACGAACATATATAGGCACTATGTCACTTCTCCGCCGCCATATAATAATGCAATGTTGCAGTTGATGAAACGGGAGCTGGTCAGCATGGTCAGGAAACCGATTTGTATGGATGTTATAATAACAGAAGAAGTTGAGTTGCTTAAGAAGTCGGATGGTAATGACTAAGGGACGATGTATCAGATGATGGAGTACGTGCAGATCCATGTGGCAATGTCAATTTCTCCACGTGGCTGTTACGGAAGTGGAGTTCTCGGACTCGCGAGGCCTCGGTGATAGTGGACAGTGTTGCGCTAGTGACTTGCTTTCGAGCCGAAGATAATTCATTATTTATTTTGTTTGTTAAAAAGATATATCAATCAAATTACTTAGTAAACAATTAAACAAAACATCTATTTTTTCTTGAGTATATTTATACGCCAGTGATATACATGCAGGTTGACACCTGACCTTTCAGTAATAGAGAAATATACATACCACAGGGTATTATCATGAAATTAACAAGATACACTTTTGTAGTGTTTATCATAGAGAAAACAATTGGAAATGGAAATATATTAAAATCTTTGCAATCAAATACACAAGCTTTATAGTTTATACCTTAAAACTTGTATAAATACTAGTATGTGAAAAAATTAAGAGTACCGGCAAATATATAATCAATTAAGTGAATTTGTGAATATATAAAAAAAAAATTACCTCTCATACTTCCTTCTTACCTGCCTTATTGACGAGATGTAAAGAAGATAACAGGAAACAACTCTGCTAAATATTTTATCCTTATCTTGCAAATTTCAATGTTGAGGGGAGTAGTTTTGAGCCAAGTAATTTCCAAAATTGTTTTTTTTTCCTTATAACATCTTCTTCCGATTCACAACCTAAATGCAAAAGCAATAAATTATTTTTCCTATTTGAAAAATCCGACGCCTTTCAATAAATGCTATCTATAGTGGTGGCGACATCATGAATTTCCGGTAATTGAAATACACAAGACCAGTTACAAACTGGATATCTGATTGAGTACCAACCATGGTTCATACTTCTTAACATTTTAATTTCAAGCTGTTATAAATACTTGAATTTTACATATCATGCAATCAGTGAAAAAAAGAATTGCAAAACTACAGACCGTCTGAACAAAAGTTAAAAGAAAGGAAATTCTTCAAACTGTTTGGAAGCGATATAAATCTCCAGCAAATTGCATATTTCTATGAATGAAAAAATCTAGAGGCTATGGTGGCATATTTCTGCCCCCTACCTTCAAGATAAGTTATGTAAACATGCAACATAATTATGTAGACATGCAACATATTTATGTCATCATGCAAGTTAATTATGTTGACATGCAAGTTACCAATCTTTTAAGAAAAATATATATTAAATATTGGCAAATTTACTTACTGAGGCCTGTATCTGACATTTTAGATGCAAATACTTCACAATGCCAATAAGAGGCTATCAGTATTATACAAATTTGTGAACAGGATAAAACACGGACGTCGGGAAATTTCAGAAGTTATGTCAGGGGAAAAGTTTCTCCCATGATTGTCCATACCCGCCACGAGCCCCATGTTTTGATTAATTAAAAAACAGAGGCTAAGCCATCTGTGCGAGAACGTCAGCCAAAATACAATTAAATGAAGGGTTGTTCTTATTAAGAAGATCATTTTATCGACCATAGAGTTTACAAAATGTTTACTATTGTTGAAATTACTGTGATACAAATTTATCTGTCAGTAACCTGCCTCAGTTTAAACATGATTGTACTCTGAACGAACTCCTGAGTATCAGTAAACACTATACTTAGGTGACAGTGGTATACTACTAAATAGGTAAGGAAAGTTGGCGATAGAATAGCTGAGGTAAACTCGTTCATCATACAAATTTCATGTTAGCACACGGCGGGTGTGGCCAGTCAGCAGAGGATGCTCTCTCCTCCATGGCACCTGATCCCACCACTGATGTTTAAGAAGTCCGTGTTTGCTCTGCTCCTATTTTGTATTGTTTTATGGACTTTGATATTGAATAATATTCGTAATCTCCATATCCTTCATTGGCCCCCATTCTCAAATATGAAAAACTCTGGTAGAATCCGTGGTTTCATGTTCACTGTGATATATGGAGTTGACAAATGCAGCAAATCTATTTTTGTATTCATAGAGGGAAAAATCTAATTCAAAACCTATAAATGAGATAGAGAAAACACAAGTTTGCTGTGACCTTCAACATTCATATATTAATGTATTATCAATTTACAATAGTAACTACATATGTCGACTAGATATATCCCAGTGAGCTTGAAAAAAAAAAAGATAAATCAGAGTCTGACACAAAGGTTTCCTTTTTGGATATTTTACCTGAAGAAGATGTCATTGGTAAATTAACGACCAAGTTTTAGAAAAGACATTATGACTTCAACTTTTCATTCGTCAACTTCTCTAACTTACATGTACTTAGTAAGAACTGCGAACGATAGTATTGTTCTCCCGCCTACCTCCAAGTCAATTTTTTAAAAGTTAACATATTCGATGAATTTTTTTTATTTTTCATAGCTAATTATATGGATTTTCATAAAACATTACTTATTTGGGAAAACAAAGAGAGATAACTCTAAAACTTTGGTAAAACCTGTGTTTTTCACTATAAAAATCAACGGAAAACGGAAAGCTTTTTGTGTGACACAAATCCATACAAAAGCTTTTTGTGTGACACGGGGGGGAACATATGTTTATTGACAAAAAACAATAAAAATGCTTATTTTTCACCAATTTCAAAGCGATATACAACTGAAACATTGTATTATATTGAAATATTTATGTTTTATTTATTTGCCTTAAACATAAGAAAAGATATAAGGAACATTTAATCATATCCAAGACTATTTCAACATACGGTGATGCTTGAAACTCCGATTTCAATGAAAAATATCGTCTACCCCCCTTTTTTCAAGAGCTGGAATTATGGATAATTTACTGTTAAGCGCTGGTATTAAGACGATTTATCAATCACCATTGAACTGTTCTTTGTATTAAACAAAGATTTTATGGCAAAATTCCTATTTATATTGAATTAAATGGTTCCAAAATGTAGGCGGGAATCGAGAGTTAGCGTGCGTGTTTCTTTATCCTTTTAACA